AGTCATTGTGGCAAATTATGCTGGGAAACTAACCTGGCCCAGGGCAGGCTAACTGTCAGACTAAGCTGAGTTCCTTTAACACTGTCCAACAGGAACGCAATGATATTAACATTGACTCTCTCACATACAATTATTATTTATTTATTTATTTTTTGGAAGTTTCTTGCCATGTAGTCTTTCTCTCTGGTTTTATGACAGCTGTACCTTTTATAGTTAGCAGAACGGATAGCAGAACATCAGAACATTACAAGTAAAAATCTGGACAAAAGTTGTGTAATGTATCCCAGTCTTAACCGGACCCCTATATAAACACATAATGCAACTAAGGGGCTGCAAGATTAATCGAATGCGATTGTCATGCACATCTTGTCAGTTCTGTGATTAGTAGTAAATCTCCATCACCTGCTCAGACCTGTCAACCTTTGAAATTTTTTTTGAGTACCATCAGTGTGATATGGGGTGATACTGGGGGTCATATAGCCTATTCCTACATTACTTGAAGCTCCTTGATGGCTAATGTCAAAATCGTAGTTGCACAATGTGCAAAATGCTAGACTTCATGTTAAATATTTTTCATAGGTTAGTACTCAACAGGGATATGCCGGTATCAAATTTTCATGTTGCGATTAATTGATAATGCTTTTATCACGGTATGCGGTGTTATCACGATATTGAAAACAGGTTTAATAACATTTTTCTTATAACAAAAATAACTGAACATTTAAATGCAATAAAGCAATACAGAAAAATGTATAAAGTTAAAAGTTTTACACAGATTAAAGTGCAAAAGAACTATAAAGACCAATAGGTATCACTTTACAATAAGACCTCATTAGTTAACCTTAGTTAATGCATTAACATTCACAATGAGCAATAGCTACATTTGCTACAGAAGTTATTAATCTTTGTTTAAAAAATACAAGTCTTAGTTCATGTTAGCTCATTAAATAACACCGTTGCAACTTTCGATTTTAACAACCTGTTATTAAATATAGGAATATTCTGTTACACCAAATAGACAAAATAATGATCATATGATGCAAAAAAAAGCATCATATGACCCCTTTAATTGTAATATGTTATATTTTAAAGAAATTATGAGCTCTAAAAGATTTTCAGAATTTTACAACTCTTGCTTTAGACCATTTACAAATGTTAAAATAAAATGTTAAGTTTACCACTGCATCTTTCTGAGAAAAAATGCAGCGATTGAATATAGTTTATTTATAGTTATTTTCAAATCTTCAATGTACTGTCATTATAAAAGACCTTCATTGTTGTTTATTTAATTCTAACAAATAAGTTCTTGTTAAAACTAACCAAAATTAAAAATAATTTGTTTATAATTTCTGCTCAGGAGAGACTTGTGCTGTTTCCAAACAAAAGGAAATATATCGGTATCGGCTATCAGGCAAAATGAGTTGAAAAATATCTGCATATTTGATATCGGCAGAAATCCAATATCGTGCATCCCTAATTTTTTCCATTGCATCGTATTGCATCAAATCACATTGTGTCGAATCGAATTGAAATCAGATCGCACTGCATCATAATAATGTGAATTGTATCGCATCGCATCGGTAGCTGATTCATATGTATCTTTAATGTATCATATTGTTTGCTCTGCATTGAGAGTCGTATCGCATTGGCCTCAGTTATGGAGATGCACATCCCTACTAGTTAGTAGTTTACCTATAGCGGCTAATGAATTGGAAGTCTTGCACATTTAAAGAAAATAGCTTACTTCTGCATTGCAAAATGAGGTGCATAAATGGAACAGAATAGCAGGAGCTCGGTCGAGGGTATATGGTATGAGGTATTCATTAGGGATGCTCCGATCCGCCTTTTTTGCCTCCGATACCGATTCCGATACCTAGGGTTTGGTATTGGCCGATACTGATTCTGATCTGAGACCAGTGACGTTTTTTTCCCTCATTTAAATAAATTTTGAATTTATATATCTCTGTGTGTGGAACTGATAATCATTCTTTCACAATCTACTAGATACAGACTACTTCATTATAAAGAAAAATAAAATAAATATGAAAAAATATAGGCCTATGTATATTTATAATCTATGACAAAAATGTATCATAAACTAGGTTAATGGATAATTCGGCAGCAAAAGTTATTCTAGAAAAATCAGTGCACAATAATTTTAGAAATCCAAACATTTAGTGAAAAAACAATATTTTGTGGGGAACAAATAAAAGTGTTGTACTAAATATGGTAAAATGTTACACATTGCTATTTGTATTATTATAAAAAAAAATTATTTTGCGTAGATTCATGGATGTATTTGTATATCAGTATATACTATAAAATTAAAATACATTTATTTTAAATGTATAGCATATTTTTTAGTAAGGCAACAACATATGATAGATACGATAGGACAAAACAAATACAGTGCAGCACGAACTGTTTTTATACAGTCAACCCTCAACGGACACCTTGGCAATTTAATCGCCATTGGCTAGTATATTTTTTGGTTTACTCGCCAGACTGAAATACTATACCCACTACAGTTAAAAGCTGAAGAATTCCAAAGGAACTCTGTTATTTTTACAGGAAAATACAACAAAGAATATCGTTTACATGTAGCGCATTAATTCTGCATGTTATGTAAGACTCTCGCTCGCTCTCTGCGCGTGTGAGAGAAAGCATCAGAGAGTCGTGCGCTTCACACTAGAAACACATTACGCCAAATACACAAATACAGGTGCGCTGTGCATCCATTCAGATGAACTGAAAAATATCACAGCTCGCTTGACGGAGAGTGAAACTCTGGAGCGCTCAGTCAGAGTGTTCTGTGAGTGAAAATATATCTGTGCTAATCATATTGTAGCGTTCTCAGACAAGGACGAGGCGTTTTGATGTACAAGGGGTGTTTATTTGGGCTGTTGTCGGCCACAACCCACGCCGTACACACCACGACTTCTAAGAGAACCGCACTTGAACCAGCGAGGCACTCCTTCTCCCCCCTCCTTCTCTCTCTTTCCCCTTACACACACACAGGGGCGGAGCCTCTTTTCACATCTAACTCGAACATCCAATAACAGTTCGCAACACAAAAATGAATACAGTGCAACACTAACATTAAGCACATTGTTATCTATAACACAACATGCTTGAACATGCTACAATATTAAGTAAAGTCACATAACTCTCAATAAACTAACTTTAGCTGACCTTGCATCACGATTACAGTTATTCTGCAATGAAAATAAAACACATCTGGGCCCGTATTGATGAAAAATCTTAGTGCAAAGAGTTGCTCCTTGTAACAAAATTCTAAGAAAATTCTTAGAAATGTGGGTGTTTCCTCTTAAAATTAAAGAAAAGATCCTAGTAAAGAAAAAAATAATTCAGAAAGCCTCAGAAGGCCTTAGGTCCAAAATTGTTAGGAAGCCACATCACCACAAGTTGTTTGGGAGGGTTTCAAGAAAATTCCTCAGCTCTCGAAAACAAACTCCAGCATATTCAGTTGTCAGACATGACTGGAACTTCACACGGGACTGGGTTTTATGATCAGATGAAAACTAAACAAATGAGCTTTTTGGCAGCAAACACTCAAGATTATAGGCATTATAGGTCAAGACTCAGAGCTGTTATCTTGGCTAAAGGAGGTTGGAATAAGAACTGAAAAAAGGGTACCATTAATTGGTGTATTAGAGAAAATTCCATAATAAGATTCCGCTTTTATCAGAAATCTCATTATTCTCATTTTCAGCTGTGTTACTTGAAATTGAAAGGTTAAGGTTTTATGAATTTTTTGAATAAAAGATCAAAATGATTAACAGTGCAGATTTATTTTCAGATCCTTTTTTGTTCATATTTACCAAGGGTGCCAATCATTTTATATATATACACCATATATATTGTATACAGTATATATTTTAATGTTTTTATTTACCATGCTGTCGTACTTAACATATTTGATAGGAAATGAACAGCGAGACAATAATGTTCTGAAAGTGCTATAATTGTTTGTGTGATCACTTTGCTTATAACTGGCGAGTAAAATCTGAGAATTTATTAGCCATTGGCTAATATTAGACATAATTTAGTCGCCCAGAGTGAAGATTTAGTCGCATATGCAAGTGATTTACTCGTAATGTAGAGGGTTGACAGTCTATGAGCACAAAGCGCATTGTAAGCACTTCGTGTTAAAAACTGCAAAAGCACAAAGGGAAGAGAAATTGATGCGTAGTGTATTATATCTGTGCAACAGTTATTGAGCCTTTCTTTTAACAGTTTTAAATTTCAGTTACTGTGCACGTTAAAAACAATTTATAGTCTTTTCTACGCCCGTGTTTTGTTCTCACAGACACCCGGTAGCAAGTAACAAAACTTTAAACTCCGGCAAGAAGATAAAGTCCTTTTTGTAAAATCATAGACATGTATTTACAAATCAAGTCAGAATAATTTGCACAATCGAAAAAGAAAAAAAAAAAAATCTTGGATTTCGATCGGCTCTCTCTGACCGATACCCGATCTGAGAAAAATGGCACTATCGGAGCCGATACCCGATATGAATATCGGATCGGCGCATCCCTAGTATTCATATCCCACTGCAGTGTTCAGAATCACAGATATGGCTAGAGGTAGGGCATGATACTGTGAGCTGACAGATATGTGTTTCCTTCTCTCTCAATCTGTCAGCTTATTGAGAGTGTGTGGATTTACAGAGAGCTAAAGACATAAACTGAGCCTCCTCTCAGTATTTGCATTAATTTGTCCTGGATGCTCATGTTTGTGAAGTGCTCAGAGATGATGCTATTATCCGTAGTGTCTGGCTGCTCAGTCAGCTGTGTAATGGAGTTTGGGAAAGGGTATTTCTTCTTTTTTTCTCTCTCTTTGGGTTTGTTTGGAGCATTTGTATGATTGGAAGTATGAGTGTTTTTTTTAGTTGAGGTCTTATACATCTTACTGTATAAAAGGATATTTCATGACTTATGATGACTATATAAATAATTATTTAATGTTTGTCTTTGCAGCTCTCCTCTACAAGCCTATTGACCGTGTCACTCGCAGCACTCTAGTCTTGCATGTGAGTTTCTTTTGCTAAAAATGTGTACGTCTATTGATTGCATGTAGTCAGGTTTAAAACTGTAAGGTCACCTATACTAAGGCAAATTCATTGGCGATTATGTTTGTACTCTATTTGTACTGTATGAGTCTTATAATTTAACCAAGTTAATCAAACTCGATTAGATATTTGGCTGTGTCAATAATAATAATAAAAAAAAAACTTGATTTGTTAACTTGAAAGATTGTCTTTGCATGTTAAGTGTATATTAGCTTATTATCTTTGATGGCATTTTGGCCTTGTACAGATGTTGACCTGTAATCCGTAATTAAGTGTGTTCTATGCCATAAAGAGGCGTCCCGACTATCAAATTATATAGTGTAAAGATCATCATATGCTTTAATATACCAGTATCAACATGTCAAAACTGCTTTTCTTCATGGATCTTAAGGATATTACAAATCCAGATATATATCATCAAAACTTGTAAAACCTGCATGAGAGGAACCTTTAAAAATTTCAAATATATTCAAATAGAAAACACTTATTTGAAATTGTAGTAGTATTTTACAATATTGCTGTTTTTGATTTGATATATATTTCAAATACATTTAGCATTAGTGAGCATAAGAGACTTTTCTGAAAAACATTTTTAAAAATGTACTAACCCAAACTTTTAACTGTAGTGTAGGTTTATCTTATTTGTGACCCTCGACCACAAAACCAGTCTTAAGTGTCAATTTTTATATGCTGAATAAATAAGATTTCCATTGATGTATGGTTTGTTAGGATGGGACAATATTTGGCCGAGATACAACTATTTGAATATATAGAATCTGAGGGTGCAAAAAAATCTAAATATTGAGAAAATCGCCTTTAAAGTTGTCCAAATAAAGTCCTTAGTAATGCATATTACTAATCAAAAATTAAGTTTTGATATATTTACTGTAGGAACTTTACAAAATATCTTCATGGAACATGATCTTTACTTAATATCCTAATGATTTTTGGTATAAAAGAAAAATCTATAATTTTGACCCATACAATGTATTTTTGGCTATTGCTACAAATATACCCCAGCGACTTAAGACTGGTTTTGTGCTCCAGGGTCACATATATTGTAATATTTGGATTGTTACTTAAAGAATAAACATACTGTAAATCTCAGATATGTTATCTGTTTGTTTTATTTATTTTTACTTTTTTTCAGGACTTGTTGAAACACACTCCTAAGGATCATCCAGACTTCCCTCTGCTTCAGGATGCTCTGAGAATATCCCAGAACTTCCTGTCCAGCATCAATGAAGAGATCGACCCACGCAGGACTGCCGTGACCACACCAAAGGGAGAGGTGTGTGACTCAGTGTGTGTCTCTACCGACAGAGAAAAAGCATGCATTATACTGTATTTTACATAAACAGTTCTCTATTGTATATGCAAAATTATAGAACGAGGCATTTGTAAGGCAGGTGAGGTGCCAGTGCCTTTATAAGAGTGTTTTCACACCTACTTTATTAATAGCTTTTAAATTTGGCACCTGGTATGTGTACTTAGTTTCAGTTTGAGGCATTTATGTTGCAATCGTTCCCATTGCACTAGTTGCACTTGTACCTACAGCAAAACCATCAGTCCAAGACCACCTCAGTTGAGTCTCAATTTATTAAAAGAATCAAATTTTCTTTTGTATTACCTGACTATTAATCAATTAACAGATTAATCAGTTATGAGTTGCAATCATTCAGGGGTGCGTTTTGTGCTTTATCAATGCTGTCATGAATTCGAATACCACTGTGTGATGTAATTCAAAAACCTGAAACAGAAGATGCTACCCTCTCCTCATTCCCTGCATTGTTGGGCATTTTTTCAGCATGACATTGACTATATACAGTACATTCTCCCGAGGTGAAAGTATTTCACCCAAACTTATCACCCTTGGGCACCTTTGGGGGATTCTGTAGAGATGCGTTTAGCAGCACTCTATTTAAGACCAGGGCATTTAAGGAGGTTATCCTCCAGGAGTTAAACAGGACAGATGTGACAATTGTTTGTGCCAAGAAGGGTCAGAGCAGTATATTAAAAATTATGGAGGATACACCAAGTACTAAAATTATATATTTGTTGAATTAAATTAAGTTACTTATTTTACAGATATAATTGACATATTTCTGTTTTTATTAAGTATATGTTTATTACCTTTCAATTTTGCCATCGTTTAATTAATTGTATTAGTGATCGTAAAGAAAATATATCTTTTGTATTTGTTCAGAGGGGGTATAGTCATTTATGCTGTGCATTGTATATATTTATGGGAAAAAAATATATAGATTGAATTGCATGTTAGCTTGCTTTTTGCTGAAGAGAGTAATCTATTTAAGTCCACATGTCATACTAACAGGAAACTATTCATATAACCACAGTTGGAGCGCTGTAGTTGTAGCCACACAACTTTGTAATGCTATTAGCTAATGTTCATTGGAACTATATTGTTAGCAATGGAACTTGTGATCATTGACCAATGATGCTTGTAGGAAATGCATCTCTAAAAAAAAAAAGAAGACAGTTTGCTTACATGACTTTTATTATTAACTTTTGGTCCACTTTGGAATGTTTTGGAGCCAAGAAGGGCTGGCACAATATCATATTTTCTTGGCCATTGAATCAAACTCAACATGCAAGTGTAAGGAGGCAGATAGAGCATTTGTAAGCATTGTAAGCCACCTGCTTTGAGTGTTAGCCACATTATTGGCACTGCATTATTTACGATATTATACAGTGTATGTAGTATTAACATTATCACCAATAACAGTATATTGCCACACCCATAACTGTAATAATTTACTTAACAAACTACAGGTCTGAAAATGTTTATTTTCAACCTTACATTCTTGAAATTCTATTTTGTTGATCATTTATGTTTGTTTTCTATCATGAGCTCCCAACCTCTATATATGACTGCATAGCTCATCATCCACATGGGAGTATGAGTGGATCAACTGTATTTATGTATTAACATAATCTCACTCTTCTTCATCACACTTATTTAAAATAAATATTTGATGTTTGAGTGTCAACACTTTTTATGATCAAGCTGTACAGTGTCAGTGATGAATTGTGTAACTGCAGGCAGGTCCATGACCTCTGTCATCCCTCGGTTTTCCAAAAGCGCACGTGTTCTGCGTGCTTCTGCTCTGATGAGTCCACGGGAAGTAACGGTGGGTGTTTCGTGTCTCTGGCAGGTTCGTCAGCTGGTGAAGGATGGCTTCCTGGTGGAGGTATCGGAGGGGACGCGTAAACTCCGTCATGTCTTCCTCTTCACAGACCTTCTGCTCTGTGCCAAGATGAAAAAGACCGCAGTTGGGTATGAACATGGACACTCACACACAAACTCACTTTCTCTCTCATTTTATGTTATACCCACTCATGCATACCGCAATCTACTGGTTTGGTGCCAGTAGATGAAGTGTTTTGATTTACAAAGGTGCGACCTCATTTGTCACTCTGTTGTTGTCGTGGTTACAATGCCAAAGAAATCCGTAATATTGATTGATAGCTGCTGTTATCCTGATGCAGCTCTGTGTTTCCGCAACTAAAGCTTTCCCAGAAGAATAACACACATAATGTGTATACTAAACACCAGTCTTCTTTAAACACAGTCTTAATTTACTATGTGTATAGTCTACTCTGGGACATTCAATTCTGGATTTTATTCTCACCTCTGACAGAGACTGTAAAGTTTTCAGCGTCTTAATCAGACCGAATTAGGCAGAAGATGATTTTAATTGGTTGTTATGCATGATGATGAGCAGATTATATTTTGCTGCAAAGCCATGCTGGGCATCATAATCATTTCATAATAAGAGCGCATTATCAAGCATTTCGACTGTGGAAACACATTTTGATCCCTGAAGTGTGTGTGCGAGTGTGTGTGTACTCTTCATTTCATAATAGAAAGTGCTTAGATTAATTAGTTACATCAGTCTCCACGTAGTCATTTCCCGTCAGGACAGGAAGAGAAAGATATCACGAGGCATGCGTTTTTGTGTATGTGAGCAGGAGCAAATTATACACTTAATGCACTAAAATGATATACTTAATATATAAATATACTATGGTTGTCAATTTAAAATCTGCTCCTATTTAACATTTAAACATTTCTCTGTGTGTTTTTCAGGAGACATCAGCAGTATGAGTGTAAATGGTACATCCCTCTGGCTGATCTGAGCTTCCAGACTCTGGATGACTCGGATTCTCTCCCTCACGTCCAGACGCTCCCTGAGCATGAGATTGAGGAGATGAAGATCAAGATCTCCTCCATCAAAAGTGAGATCCAGAAAGAGAAGGTACAGTTTCTCTTACATTAATTATATATATATATATATATATATATATATATATATATATATATATATATATATATATATATATATATATATATATATATATATACTATATAATATATACATACATACATACATACATACATACATACACAAAATTTATATTTTAAATAAATACTGTTCTTTTTTACTTTTTATTTATCAAAGAATCCTGTAAAAAAGTATCACAGATCCCAAAATATATTAAGCAGCACAGCTGTTCCCAACACTAATCATAAATCTGCATATTAGAGTGATTTCTGAAGGATCATGTGACACTAAAGACTGGAGTAATGATGCTAATAATTCAGCTTTGCTTCACAGGAATAAATTATATTTTAAAGTATATTAAAATAGAAAACTCTTATTTTAAATTGCAATAATATTTCACAAAATTAAATTTTTTCTGTATTTTTGATCAAATAGATGCAGCCTTGATGACCATAGGAAAAACATTTTAAAAACATTACAAATATTACTGATATTCAGATGGAAAAGCCTCTTAAGTGCCGTGTGAAATGTTCTTCTAAAATGCGCATTTTTCTCAGGCTCCTGTTTATGTTCAGTTATTTCACTTTAATGACAATGAAAATAACCCATTCATTGCAATTAAAGTGAAATAAGTAATGATTTTGGTATGTTTATGTTTGCACAAAATGTTTTTATTTTTATTTTTCCTCGCAGCGATGCCATGAAATAACCGTTCTTGGTGTCCTAATGAACCTTTCAGACAACAGTGCTTAAAAGAACCATTTTTCTTAGTTTAAAGAAATAGTCATAGTCTACAAAGAACTATGAGGTTCTTCACTTAATTATCAGTCTTTTTCAATCTCAAGTCATGCCAGACTCGGAAGCATTGCTTTGTAGGCCTCTGTTTGGAATTAGGGAGAAAGTGGATTTTGTGGTTTGTTTACTGATGTTTAGCATTGCTGAAGCAGGTCACAGTTTACATTTAGACAGATCTTAGACCGCCCGCTTCCATTGTTGTTAACAATTGCCGAGGTCAGCACAGGACAGCGAGGCAGTGCCTCACACGCAGAGGAAAGTTGACACCCCAACTCTCAGCTTCGGTAACGTGTAACTGTGTGAGCGGGTTTGTTTATGCTAGCTGACAATGAGAGAATCAAACGAGTTCCCCTCTGAGAGCACTCGCTCCTGGGATTGTCAGGGTGTCTCTTCTGGGAGCGATTACTGCACCACAGTCATGTAGCCCATTCCATTGTGTCACGATATAATATAACAATGACACACACACTAACGGACTGAGCAGTGGGGCTCTGGAGTCTTTAATTAGCTGTGGAGGCCTGATAACATCATTTCCAGTAAAGCTCATACACACAATGAGAGGAGGACAGCGTCGGCCCTAATGGAAACTCTCACAGACACACAAACATAAAGACAATTTCCTTTGAATTGACTTCACAAACAAACATTTTGTACTGTTTCAAAATCATGGTTTTCACCAAAAATATTAGGTAGCACCACTGTTTTCAGCATCGATAATAATAAGCAATGTTTCTTCATCATCAAATCAGCGTATTAGAATGATTTCTGAAGGATCATGTAACACTGAAGTATTGGATGCTGAAAATTCAGCGATGACATCACACAAATAAATTACATTTTAAAATAAATAAAATTAGAACATTTATTATAAATTTAAATTATATTTCACAATTTGATTAAAATACATATTATTTTTACTTTTGCAATTTTTTTTATATCAAATATATGCAACCTTGGTATGCTTAAGTGATTTATATATATATATACACACACACACACACACACCGGTTGTTGATGCTTGTCTGCCATTTTCACTCTGTCTGCACAGCATGTGTGAACACGCTGATGACATATCCTGTCTGCGCGAACCGGGTGCGCAGAGGTATGCTAATACATACGTTGACAGGCAGGTAGGAAAGCATATTAAAACGCTCGGACCGAGCATTTTGATTGGACGAACATTTCTTGATCCTACGCCTTCCACAGAATATATAAATACAGATAAATACATTTAGACCACTTAACTTAATGATTGCTATCGGGATGTGAAGAGACTTTCAACCAGCATAACAAAAAATGTTTCTGAAGACAATCACCTATTGCACCTTTAACTCCATTCTGAGAGTAATAAGAGAGAATGAGAAGGAAAGAGAGGGCTAATGAGAGCAGGAAGTTTCTCTGATTGAAATGCAGATTACTGATTACAGTCATGCTGGCTGCTGTGTGTGTTAGTATCTGAGAGGCACAAGCTCGGGCATATTTTGCCTGTAAGCACATTTTTAAAGTACTAATATCAGATTGATTTGTGTGTGAACAGAAAGCACAGAAGGCTCAGAGTCGTAATGTGGATCGTCTCAGGAAGAAGATGAACGAGCAGGAGTCGTGTCTGCTGTTACACTCCCCCACCATCCCATTCCGCATCCACAACAAACACGGCAAGGTACCGCATCTCACAAGCATCTGATTTTCTACGCTATTCTGTGTGGGAGGCTAGTGTGATTTTTATTTGACATGATCTCTCAGATATCTTGTTCGGTTGGATGTTTCATTAAATATTTAGCAGTTAAATGACATGTTTCTGCTGTTTATAGCGTTCCAGTAGAGGGAGCTATTGTTTTTCTTGAGCTCACTTTCTCTCGTTCTCTCTCTCCAGAGCTTCCTGTTCTTGCTGTCCTCAGATTATGAGAGGTCAGAATGGAGGGAGAGCATTCAGAAACTGCAGAAGAAAGGTAAGACGTCTTGTTCTATTACAGCATCAGTTTATTATTCATTACAATATCACATCATCAGTACAAAATGACACTATCCTTCATTCCTGATTTGGCCCCACTACCACTCCTGTACTGCTCTCCACTAGATCCACTAGCTATGGGGTCCACTAGGGGGCCTCAGCAAACTTAGCAAAAGGGCAGAAAGATGGTTTATTTATAATAATTTAAAAAAAAGTTATATTAAAAATGTATATCCTAATATTATAGTAAACTCTCACTATTTATTTATTTAGATTTATTACCATTAATTTATTTCCGTTTTAGTGTTAATTCAGTTTATTTCCAGTTAGTAATTTTGGTGATTTTTCACGTAATCTTTATATTTTATTTTTTGTTGCAGCTTTTTTTTTTAAATGTTTTTAATAGTTTTAATTAGTGATAATAACATTGATGTGTAGAGCTCACTGTGTGTGTGTGTGTGTGTGTGTGTGTGTGTTTGTGTGTTTCAGACCTCCAGGCCTGTGTGTTGAGTTCAGTAGAGCTACAAGTGTTGACCGGCTCCTGCTTTAAACTCCGAACTGTCCACAACATCCCCGTCACCAGCAACAAAGATGGTAAGAGACAAACAGCTCTCTGCTCTCTGATGCAGTGCTTAGTAGCTTCAGCTATAGATGGAGGGATCAAATGCAAATACTATCTGAATATGAACTTACAGTAGAGGAGAGTAGGGTAAAATATGTTGGTGATATCAATTTTCAGTTGTTCAGATGTCCAGAAAGTTAGTTACATTTAGGAGAACCTCAGTAAAAACAGTACAGCTTATCCCTTGTTTCTTTCCCTTCTGTTTCCAGTTAAATTCCTTCAGCTCCCCATCACAATAGTTTTTATTTGTACTCACTACTACCCTAGTTTCTTTGTTCCTCAATTTCTCTTTCCATCACAGGGAAGTCCAAATAGGTTTTTCAGAAATCTAGGTTACAATCTGGTTTTACTCTACTGATAACCCGTGCCATGTAGAGGCTGCCTTTGTTTACTTCTGGGCAGAGCAGCGTTTCAGGACTTGGCTGTTTATTTTTGTGTGGACCCTGACATGTTTCAATTTGGATGACATTAAAGCCATCTGTCCATCACCTCCCACATGCAACCTCAGTCAGCAGAGCTGGAGTCGGTCACTATCAAAAGGGCAACACTCCCATAGTGCTGCTGCTGTACACATACTGCACACCTCTCCTGGTGAATTATGGGTGATTGGTGGTAGGTTCAGAAATATTATTGCATTTAGCCATTGCGCCATATGCCATAACATTATTATAGTGGTTTTCCTGTGATAAAATCACTGTAACTCCCAACCTCAAGTCAAGTCAATTTTTTAGCGCTTTTCATAATACAAAAGCTGCTTTACAGAAAATCATGATGTTAATGTTTATTATAATACTTTAGAATATCACCCAAAAGTGAAAATTTACTAAAAATGTTCTCACTCAGGCCATTCAAGATGTAGATGAGTTTGTTTGTTCATTGGAACAGATTTGGAGAAATTCAGCATTACATCACATGCTCACTAATGGATCCTCTGCAGTGAATGGGTGCCATCAGAATAAGAGTCCAAACAGCTGATAAAAACATCACAATAATTCACAAGCAATCCATAGTCCATCAATTAACATCTTGTGAAGTGAAAAACAGTGTATTTCTAATAAATCCATCAATTTTTTAACTTCAAAAGAGTCCTCTATCCATAGTATTGCTTTCTCCACTGAAAAAGTCATATTGTCTGAATCAGGAGAGAAATATGCACAGATCAAGCACCGTATACAATCGAAAACAGTCCAAACAGTCCACAGCTCTAAACACATTTGTCAGTGGATTTTAAGAGGACAACAGGTGATGGACTTTTACACTGGAGGAAATTGAGTGTGGAATCATATTTTAGATTTGTTTCTTACACACCACTGTTTGTTTCACGAGATGTTACCTGATGGATTGGAGTCATGTGGATTACTTGTGGATTATTATGATGTTTTTATCAGCTGTTCGGGCTCTCAATCTGAAGGCACCCATTCACTGCAGAGGATCCATTGCTGAGCAAGTGATGTAATGCCAAATTTCTCCAAATCTGTTCTGATAAACATTTTTTCAACGATATAATAATCAAGCAGTTGATACATGCTACACAATATGTATGCTGCTGAAGTGTCTTGTTGCTTTCAGTAAATAATTACATTATTTTTAATAATCGCACTAATCATACTAAAAATGTATCCATTATTGATTTTTGTTAGCATTGTTCTGACCAAACTGCAGCTTAAATTAATACATTTGTAAATAAATAACTGGATGTGAAATATTGATTTGAGAGGAGAATGCTGTACTCTAGAGAGATGTGTAGTAAACATACTATAATTGTTATGTACTGGTGCCAATATTATTTAAAATAGTTAAATATTATGTAAAATAATTAATGTAACTTGATTTGCGGAAGCACAAATCACAGTGGATTTGAAGCATAATTTGAGTTCATATATAAATATCAGTTTTTTGAGCATGTATAAAGAGTGCTGCTGGCAGGTTGTATCCGGCGCAGGGGTCTTGAGTTTGACTTGTGGTGCAAGTATTAGGTGTGTTTACTGTATCTGTCTTTTGTAAGTGACACACATAGAAAGACCCCCTCTGATCATCCCCTGAACCTCCTGCTACGAAATTTAAGATGCCGAGAATGAGGTGAAATGAGGAGCAGCTGCTGGAGGAATGTAACCCCTGCCACATCCCCTCACATACATCCCCCATGAACCCCATATACACACTCACAAATAGCCTCTTTCCTCTGGACACCAGCAGTTTAAGCTGACAAATCAGGGCTGTAAGGAGCGTTTGTCTTCATTATGACAGAAACAGTCTGACATTGAGAGCTCTCAGATGAAGGGGAACAGTAATTAAATGATGGTCGGCTGCTGTTTTGTGCTCATCTGCGAAGTGAGAGCGTTAAGGCCCCTTCACGTGACTTACATCAGGGTTTAAGCATCAAGCGCCGCTTTGACCTCCACATGAAAAGCATTGCAAATAGTGTTGTGGAAGGGTGATGTTGCAAGAAGAAGTGGAAGTGTTTAAACATGTTGGCAATTGCTTTGATGCATCAGAAATAGAGTGGTTGAACGTGGGTTCACGAAACGTTAGTGTTTCAAGGTGCTTGTGGTGAATTTAAATTAGTTTAGGAACTGAGGAACCAACAATAATATGAAGTATGTGGCTTTCAAGATCTCTTCATGTTTTAAACCGTTCTTGCTTTGTACTCCAAGTTTGGACAAAATTCAGAATTTTAAGAACTGAATCTTTTAATTCATTAACTGAAATAGCTAAACCACATAGGAAGCTGGAATTAATTGCATTTCGGTTCAGTTGCTAATTATATTTTTGGCTAAAACCTGTCAAACTTCAAACACAAACTTTTTGACAAACTTTGTTTTATTTTCTTAAACTTAATTTCTTCAAATTTCAATTCACTTTAATTCAATAATTTCATTAAAAATATTAAAAATTTGAATGTCAATTCCACAACCTGCTTTCTACCTCAGTAAAGTTAGATTCAAAATCAAGAATTAACTGGAATTTAAAATTAAATTCAAATTCAGGATTTTAAGTTTAAATTCAAGAACTGAAATTCAAATTCAACAATTGATTTGAAATGTAAAAGGTTTATAAATTCTACCCGGAATGGCACACATCCTTCTTGTACTCCTAAAAGACATCATCAAAAAGGCCAAAATGTGCATAACATGACACTTTATTGGGCCCTATCATACACCCAATGCAATGTGTTTTTTGCTAGCTTCAGCCCAATGTAGTTATCATTTTCACATTCTGCGCCACGTTGTTTAAATAGCAAGTGCATTTGAGCCCATTTGTGTGCCCATGGGCGTGCTGGTCTGAAAACAAGGTGTGTTCAGGTACATTGCTGGCACATTGCTATTTTGAGGCAACTGAAATGGACCGCAGTAGTTTTTTGTTATTTAAAGAGCACGTTAGTATAGGCGGGTCCACAAAGCGTGTACACTCTGCTTATCACACACACAGGGACATGCAGCAGCACACAAACATGTCAAATATTAAAAATTAAAGGATTACAATGTAAAAGATTATTATTGTGTGGGCTACATAAATATAAAAATGCCTACATGTCATAATGGATAGTCATTGCATGTATCAGAATTAGACTACCTATTTGCTCACGCACGAGTAGTTCCGTTTCCTCTCTGGAGACACATTCAGTCTTTGCGCTTGCAAATTCCGCTGTGTAAATGGCAAATCCACCATGGCGCGATCGCAACTGGCTCTTAAAGGGAATGGGAGATGAGACTCTGATTGGTTTATTGCACGTTATGCCCAAAACACACCCATTACTCAGTAAGAGAATAGGGACAATTTTATAGGGACACCCTTTTAGACCATGCGCCAGGCGCGCAGACCGTTTTTCCATCATTAAACTAGCAAAAGTGGATTCTGACACACACTAAGTACACCTGGGCCTTGCGCTTTAGACCATGCACTTAGATCGTTAAAATAGGGCCCATTGACTTAAATGCATTGAGCAGCATTAATCATATATATGAAAGGGCCTTAAAGGTGCTAGTTTATTCAATGTGCTTCTGGACTGTGTGATGAAATGACATTTGATTCTTACTTTTGTCCACCAACACGCACAGGTCTGTGATTGTTTACTCTCTCACGTGTTGTTCTGATGAGGCAGTGTAGGTTCAAAGAGCTTCTCGGCTAGTTTACTTCCTGCTAAATAAATGCAGAGAAAGGGAGACTGCAACTTGAGCACTACCACCCACTGCTTCTAATATTGATACAATAAACCACTCTGTGTGTGCGTGAGGGTCGGTCAAGGCCACCCTGAAGTCATGCCTGGTTCTGTGGGCCCAGAGACCCCTCACATGCAGCAGGTTCCCTCTCAGGACGAGAGCCTTTAAGTCCAGAAGAATCCTCTTGTTCTCTCGGGCTTACCGTAAATGTTGTTTTCATGAATCATGCTTTTTTTAACCCACTTCACATGATGTTAAACTTTTTCGGTGTGGTTATCTAAACTCATGGTTTTAGTTAAGGCAGCTGTAGACTTTCAGTTATGTGACACTGTTTTCATTTGCTCTGACATCTGCATTCTTTCCACCAGCACTAATTTACAGAGTTCTTCATCAGTGTTTCCAGAGCAGACCAGCCAAAATCAGGGGGCTGTGACACTTGGTTTTATCTGATCTGTATGTAATAGATAGTGCAACTTGATCAAAACTTGACATTTATGAAGTTTTCCGATCAGCACTGACCTTTGATTCTTTTAGAGTGAATCAAATTCTTAGTCAGCCTGACTTTACTATTACTACTTTACGCTACTAATCGACTGTTTTGGAGTTTTCAGTACTGATACCAAAGCTGCTATCTGGACACTGACAAAACATTTTGGACAAATATAAATAAAATGCTTGGAACTTATTTTGTGTACAATACATTGTATAAAAAATATGTTTATATACAGTGGGGAAAAAAAGTATTTAGTCAGCCACCAATTGTGCAAGTTTTCCCACTTAAAAAGATGAGAGAGGCCTGTAATTTTCATCATAGGTATACCTCAACTATGAGAGACAAAATGAGAAAAAAAATCCAGAAAATCACATTGTAGGCTTTTTAAAGAATTTATTTGCAAATTATGGTGGACAATAAGTATTTGGTCAATAACAAAATTTCATCTCAATACTTTGTTATATACCCTTTGTTGGCAATGACAGAGGTCAAACGTTTTCTGTAAGTCTTCACACACTGTTGCTGGTATTTTGGCCCATTCCTCCATGCAGATCTCCTCTAGAGCAGTAATGTTTTGGGGCTGTCGCTGGGCAACACGGATTTTCAACTCCCTCCAAAGATTTTCTATGGGGTTGAGATCTGGAGACTGGCTAGGCCACTCCAGGACCTTGAAATGCTTCTTACGAAGCCACTCCTTCGTTGCCCGGGCGGTGTGTTTGGGATCATTGTCATGCTGAAAGACCCAGCCACGTTTCATCTTCAATGCCCTTGCTGATGGAAGGAGGTTTTCACTCAAAATCTCACGATACATGGCCCCATTCAAAAAACAGTTTGAGGTTGTGGACAGGTGTCTTTTATACTGATAACGAGTTCAAACAGATGCCATTAATACAGGTAACGAGTGGAGGACAGAGGAGCCTCTTAAAGAAGTTGTTACAGGTCTGTGAGAGCCAGAAATCTTGCTTGTTTGTAGGTGCAACATTTGATATGTTATCTATATTCTATTGTGAATAAAATATAAGTTTATGAGATTTGTAAATTATTCCATTCCTTTTTTACTCACAATTTGTACAGTGTCCCAACTTTTTTGGAATTGGGTTTGTAAGTATAATACATTTATACATTTCGTTACAAAGCTAAAAAAAATGTATTACTAATAAATCTGATAATATTATTAATAATATATAATATACTACTACTACTAATAATAATACTGTAGCACTTATGTTATACTAATACTTATGTAACAATAATAATAAGCATGATAAAAACTCACTTTAAAAAAAACTTTTTTATTTATTTATTTTTATTATTCATTATCATTATCCTCATGGCAACTAACTAACTAAATAAATACATATTTTTTAATTTTTTATATTCATTTCCAATGTACCCAATGAAGTGTCCAATATACATATAAACTACTAAATTTAAAAATAAAATGTAAATAAACTTCCTGTCCTCACTAACTGTCTATTTGAGTGTTGGATGACTGGTAAATGATTTTAACCAATTAATTTTAATTTCAGCATGGAAGTCAGGCTCTGTTGTCTGTTTATTACCACATTCTAATCGCAGTGTCTTATATCATGTTGTAGAAGGAAATTTTAGTAGTTTGATGAGCATCAAGTCCTGTAATGAATCTGAGCAATCCAAACACATACAATGGCATTCAGATAGCCTGATGTTTATCACCAGTCCAGCACATAAATGGACCACACAAACCAGAGATATTCTGTAAGAATAGCACTGTTTACATTACAGCAGACATGCATTCACCAGCTGATGAGCACAGAGAGAGAAACAGTGGTGACTGGATACTAGTGCAGGTGTCTTCTTTCCCTCTTCCATTCGCACACTCTTCAAAGAGCCTACTCTTGGGTGGTCTGGGCCATTTCTGCCATTTTAATTTTAGTAGTGTGTATGTGTTTTAGCAGCAAGTGGGTGACTAGACACTTGCATATGTGTCCTTTATCTGTTATCTGTCACTAATAGGCAGGAAAATGGAGGATTGTGGGTAGATTAAAGATGGAGATGCTGAAAGATGACTAAAGGAAGGACTTGGACACTTCATAAATTCATCCCCCTCTCACACATACACACAATTACTGAGTGTTTCTTGTCTCTTCCAGATGATGAATCTTCTGGTCTGTACGGCTTCCTGCATGTGATCGTCCATAAAGCCACGGGCTTCAAAGAATCTGCCAGTAAGTTAAAATGTCTTGTCTTTCACTTTCTTTATAGAATATAAAAAATATAGAAAACACATTTATCCAGCATAATAAAGGATAATGGAAACAATTCATTTGTATAAATCAGCATTTCTCAAAATGTGGTCTGTGGCCCACTAAGTATTGCAGGGGAGCTGCAGCCCACACTTTGGGAAATGCTGATCTATACAGATGTATTGTTTTATTATGCCGAGCACAAGTAATTGACCTCATATGTTGGGGAGAAAGGAAGAAAGAGGAAGGCTGTTACTGAAAAAACCTTAGATGAACTCTCCATCAGTTAGCTGCAGACACTATTGCATATTACTGTAGCAAATGTGCTTATAGAGTAAGTTACTGTGATTGTTTAGGTGAGCGATTAGATGAACAAACCAACATGAATGAAGTCACAAACCTCCCTACAGACTTTTTTGAATATGATATGTATGCCCTTCACTGATGCAGATTTCTAAATGACTAATGGGTACAACATTGCCCAAAATGATCCGTATACAACAGAACATACTAGAGGAAGTACCATTCCACATTTCAATAGAATGCAATTCGGTCCTGGAAGTAAATTAATGTGAAAAATATTTCCGAAACCAAGGCTGCTGAAAATTGGGCAGGCACTGATACACTCTTAAGCGCTTGACCTTTATTTATTTATTTATTTATTTATTTCAGGTTTATTTGACAGGGACAATGTGCATCAACAATACATAAATGCACAATGTGCCAGAATTAGCCAGAAGGCTATTTTGCATCTGCATCTTTAATTTCTGGAGTGATGAATGTGTGTGAATATATACTGTATACAGTGGTGTGAAAAGTGTTGGCCCCCTTCCTGATTTCTTATTTTTTTGCATGTTTGTCACACTTTAATGTTTCAGATCATCAAACTAATTTAAATATTAGTAAAAGATAACACAAGTGAACACAACATGCAGTTTTTAAATGAAGGTTTTTATTATTAAGGGAAAACAAAATCCAAAACTACATGGCCCTGTGTGAAAAAGTGTTTGCCCCTAAACCTAATAACTGGTTGGGCCACCCTTAGCAGCAACAACTGCAATCAAGCGTTTGCGATAACTTGCAATTATTTGTTATCTGAGTCTGTTACAGCGCTGTGGAGGAATTTTGGTCCACTCATCTATGCAGAATTGTTGTAATTCAGCCACATTGGAGGGTTTTCGAGCATGAACCGCCTTTTGAGATGCCAGCATCTCAATAGGATTCAGGTCAGGACTTTGACCAGGCCACTCCAAAGTCTTCATTTTGTTTTTCTTCAGCCATTCAGAGGTGGACTAGCTGGTGTGTTTTGGATCATTGTCCTGCTGCAGAAACCAAGTTGTTTTCCCTTAATAATAAAAACCTTCATTTAAAAACTACATGTTGTGTTTACTTGTGTTATCTTTGACTAATATTAAAATTAGTTTGATGATCTGAAACATTAAAGTGTGACAAACATGCAAAAAAAAAAAAGAAATCAGGAAGGGGGCCATCACTTTTTCACACCACTGTATATACTGTGCAAGGTATTTTATTCAGAACATAGCATTTTCTTTCTACGTATTTCCTGTTTTACACAGAAATACATTTCATTATGTTAACAGTGTCATGTTGCCTTTAAATCAAGCTGACAAAAGCCATGCAAAGGATGAAAAAAGTGCACTGTGGGAGTTGCACAACATTCATGCACATAGAAACTCCTGTTACATAAGTTCCTTTTTAGTATAGATGAAAGTGGCAGAGATGAATCTGTATCTGAAAATTGTCTCCCATGGCTCCATCACACAGGACAAAATATGAAATGTATTTAGTGTAAAAAAAAAAATGTAACAAGAGTACGTCAGCAGTACTGTGGTCACCATGGCTGCCGGGTCATAACTGTATAATTTGTAAGAGCTTGTCCTGTGGGGGCTTCACTTATGAATATTTGCATATATATTTACACATTATGTCTCTTTGCTTTATGAGGTCAGGGCTTGAATGAAATACCCAAATCAAGTTTATGTACAGTATGCTAATATGAATTTGCATAACGGATGCATGTGGCCAGCAGACTCTGTAGATCAGCTCAACTCTGATAACAATGCCCTAATAAATCGCACAATATTGTTCCTAAAGAATGATTCAAAAGAGCCATTGTGTAAGACTGCTTTGTGTTTTTTTATTTTTTTGAATGCTTGTTTTCTTGGTTCATTTTTTGTGTTTGGCTCGTCTGAAGTCATTTGTCATGGAGTTTGTGGTGTTGTGGTCTTCTTGAATGTGACCGTGAGAGCAAACATGTGTTGTGCATATGGATATGCAGGTGTTTGAATATCTTTTTATATTGGGATGTACTTGCTCCATCTCAGCCGCTGATTGAATCCTCCTTTCCAAGTCTTATTAAAGGCCTTGAACCACTCTGACAGGAAATGCATCCAAATCCTCGCTCTGGGCCATTAATGAAAACTGGGTCGTTGACATTGGCTTCCTGATAAAAAGGGTTTGAGGGAGAAAATACTGACCCAGAATACTAACCACAACTTTTGACACATGCAGTAAATGATTTATCTTTACCTTTCTGCTAGTTTACAACCTCTAATCCTTTTGTTCCAAGAGTTCCAATCTTACCAGTTGCATATGGCTAGTTCATAAAGCAGCAGATTCCTTCAAGTAGCACAACTGTTTGATAATAATAAGAAAAATTGTTTCTTGAGCAGCAAATCAGCATATTAGATTGATTTCTGAATTATTTCTGAATGTATGATACTGAAGGCTGGAGTAATCGGATGCAAAAATAAATTCAGCTTTGCTTCACAGTACAAATTTACATTTTAAAATATATAAAATAGAAAGGAGTTATTTTAAATTGTAGTAATATTCCACAATATTACCATTTTTATTGTGTGTTTCAAATAAATGCAGCCTTGGTGAGCATAAGAGACTTTTTTTTCTTTTCTTTTTAAACATCATATAAAAATATCCAAACTTTTGCACATAATAATCACAGTAAACATAAATGTAAATATAACAGTATAGTACTGTCCCTGCATATTCCTGTATGAATGTTCTTCACCTGTAAAAGATACTCATCTGCACGTCTACAGTTTATGTGTGTGAATGGACTGGTTGCCATATGGCTCTCATCACCATCTCATTTCATTTGGGAACATCAGCCCAAGGATACGGTTCCTCCCCCAGATGACAAGACTTCCCATCCGCCATTGTGTGGGGCAACCATAAACATTTGGTCAAATTTAAAACTCCAAACAATTACACTCTTTGTATAATACAGAGCCATCAGTGGTTATTGTCTTTCTACATATGCACCAAAGTGCCAAACCTCTTAGTTTTACATCTTTGAGATTATTTATTCATCATTTTTTATATAATGGCTTCTCAATAACAACCTCTTTGAGTTTTTTTTACTACACAAACCTCTCATGTCAAGTCAAAAGCATGGCTGAAATAATGACGGTGCACTATATCAGTCTTTAAGAGCCCACTAAAGGTCTTCTTGTGCGTCTGAAGCCTTTTAAAAACACATTCCATGGAAGCACTACTCTCACTGAGGGTCGATTTTCACTCAGTGGTCACCATCTGCTAACCAGAGCACCTTTCCTCACCGTCCTAGTCCACTCTCTGTCCTGATTCATGCAGGATGTTTTTATAAATACATTTCCTGTTCTCTGAAGAATTAGGTTTCTGTGCCTGGTGCTGCTAAAATCTAAAGCCTCCTCTGACCGTGTAGAGAGATATAGCTGCCCTTATTTCATGTTTTTAATATTGAGAGCAAGGAAATGGGTCTGACTGAGATGTTTGAAGTACAGCTCTGCTGAATGGGACAGGATGGGTTTGGGTAAAGGTCTTTTCATTTAAGACATCATTCATTATTTAAGAATGGATTTTTTTCTTTAGCACATGCTAAATGAAGAATTTATGCTTTATATTTATTTTGGTTTACATTTGTGCTGCCCCAAACAGCGGTAGCTGAATATTGTGTTTATTTTTTTGAGTTTTAGTGTATTTTCATCAGTTATAAATGCATACAAACTAAAAAGTATGGTCAGCAATTATAATTAAAGAGAAAGTTCAGCCAAAATGAAAATGTATCACCCACATGTTATTTTTTTCTTTTTTTCTTTATTTTTTTAAAACACAGATAGTTTGAAGAATGTTGGTAGTTAAACAGTTTGGCTCCCATTGAATTCCATTGTATGAACCAAAACAACACGGAGATATTTCTCAAAATGTATTTTTATGTTCCACAAAACAAAGTAAGTCACACAGATTTAGAATGATATGAGGGTGAGTAAATTATGTTTTTTTAATTTTTGGGTGAGTAGTTTCTTTAAACTTGATTTGGACAAAGAAGTGCAGAAAGGGTTAGTTCACCCAAAAATTAAAAGTGTGTCATTATTTACTCACCCTCATGTTGTTCCAAACCTGTAAGACCTTTGTTCATTTTTGGAACACAAATGAAGGTATTTTTGATGAAATCCGAGAGCTTTCAGATCCTGCATAGACAGCAATTACGGTTGAACCACTGATGTCACATGGACTATTTAAACAATTTCCTGACTACCTTTCTGGGCCTTGAACGGGTCAGTTGCGTTGCTGTCAGAAAGCTCTCGGATTTCATCAAAAATATCTTAATTTGTGTTCTGAAGATAAACAGAGGTATACAAGTTTGAAACGACATGAGGGTGAGTAATTAATGACAGAATTTAAATTTTTGGCTGAACTAACCCTTTAACTGTACTGAATGTGCGCTTGTACTGTGTACTTTAATTCTTAAAAGTATATTTAAAAAAATATATATATATATACTGTACCCACAGATAATATAATAATAATAATGAAAGGAAAGGCCACTTACTGAAAGTATATTTTAAGAGAGTACATTTTAAATAATTGTTTTGATCATATTTTTGGCGTTTTATTTTATATTTAAAGTTATTATGTTTAAAAAGTGTACTTCTTTTTCACAAGGGCCAGGTTGCTTCCACCACGAGTTTTTTAACTGAATTGCCCCCAAATCGAAACGCTGGCCTCAGAGAAAGCCCTGAAATTCCCACTGGTGACATTGTGGTGTTATCTCATTAATATGATCATTTTGGCATGAGCAGAAGACGTGTGTGCTGACACAGCTGGTGTGTATGTGTGCAAATACAGCTTCATTATAAAGCAGCCCACCCCACATTTATTAACATACACATTACAGACCACACTATCAATTACCAGTGGCTTGATTGACTGCACACTCGTGTTAAAGCCACGCTCACAAGCCCCACGGTGTGTTTTGAAGCTGACCGCTCTTGTGTGACACCACCTCCATACTAATTGAACATCACCTCATTTCTCTCCTGTCTCAACAATACACCCCACACATTGCAGAGGTCAGAGGTCATGGCGTGCTGTAATCCATCAAACTGTCAGTTGGTCACACAAACTATAGCAATGTGATAAAGTTAATTTGCTATTAGAGAAGTGTGTGAGCACGTGAGGCATGTTGCTGTAAGACACATTGACAGATAGATAAGACAAATGCCCTGTTCCTGTGTGTGTGTGAGTGTGCGAGTGTGCGAGTCCTGACAATCACTGTATTGTGTTTCGGTATTGACACACATTGATGTATTTGAAAACGGATGGAAGACCAGCAGGGTGTAAAAATCATTTAAGGTTTTAAATGCTGACACCATGTCTACACAGTGAACCATGAAGTGTTAGAGCTAAACTTATATGCCTTGATTAATTAACACAAAGAAATTAATCATACTGAGGCTACAATTTTCTTTAACTGCACTAAAACACATTTATTAGAGCAATAAACCCTGAGAGGCTTTACATTACAATGATTGGTTTGGAGTGTTTTTCATATTTTTAATTCCTAAAACCCCTTAACAGTGGCAAAATCTGTAGTGCATGGATTTGTATGGCTTACTGCATTTAGCCGCAGCAACTTACTGTAATAAAAGGTACAGTGCCATTCAAAATGTTGTTTGTTTGTCAAAAGACAATAAAATAATAATATTGTGAATATATTAAAAATTTAAATAGCTGTTTTCCATTTAAAAATAGTAAATATGTTTTTTGTCCCCTGTGATAACAAAGCTTTAATTTCAGCATCATTACTCCAGTCCTTCAGAAATCATATTAATATGCTGATTCGGTGCTCAAGAAACATTTCTTATTATCAGTGTTGAAAATGTTTTTATGAAAACATCATAAAAACATCTTTTTTCAGGATTATTGGATGAAAGTTCAAAAAACAGCATTAATTTGAAATAGTGATCTTTTGCAATGATTTAAATGTCTCTTTTGATCAATTTAATGCATTCTTCCTGAATAAAACTGTTATTTAAAAAATTCTGACCCCAAATTTTAGAACGATGTGTATGTTAATTACTTACATTTTTTTTAAGTAGCAGTAGTGATATTAATATAAAATATAAATTAAATTAAAATAATATAACATTATCTATTACCAATTATCAATGTCAATTTCTGATTTTAAAAATATAAATAAATAAATAAAATGGAATAGAATAAATAATTCTGCTTCCAAGTAATGTAGATCTGTTGGTTGTTTATTGGTATCAAACATCAAAGCAACTTAGCACATTGATATGGAATTCAACTTTTATGTTTTTGAAGGTGTGTGTATGTAACAGCTTCCGAATGAGCTTTTTTATAAATGTATTTTTTTCTTTTTCTCATGAGGGGATTATTGTGTGTTCTCTGTAGATCTGTACTGTACGCTGGAGGTGGACTCTTTTGGTTACTTTGTCAGTAAGGCCAAAACGCGTGTGTTCAGAGACACAACAGAACCACAGTGGAATGAGGTCAGCTTTTAAAAAGTGCATCATTATAATAAAGAAAAGTCACCTGACAAATCACCATCATGCATCTGTCATTAATTCTTTTGTCCTCCTATAGGAGTTCGAAATAGAGCTGGAGGGCTCTCAGTGTCTGCGGATCCTGTGCTACGAAAAGTGTTACGACAAATCAAAGCTCAATAAGGACGATAATGAGATTGTGGACAAGATCATGGGAAAGGGACAAGTACAGGTAGGACAAAGAGACAAGCACATTGCTAAACCACGATACGTACGCAAACAGCAAACACTCCGGTCTGTGACTAAACTGGTTTAGAGCACAAAAGGTCAGACTTAATTTGTAGTGGTTTCCTGATGAGAGTCATTTTATTGTTGTCTGGTTTGAGCGTGTGCTCTGCAGATGGTGTGTTGTGGTGCTGTATTTTTGACATGGGCAGCTTTACTTCCTGAGAACCCGTGGTTTATATTTCTTTCACTTCACATGCGTGGGAAATGCCCCAGTTAAACTGAAGTTAGAGTGTGTGTGTTGAGATCAGTGTGTTTGCGGTATGTAGCTGACGTTAGAAACAGTTATCAGGACTTGCATCAACACAAAAAAATTCCCTTTCAGGAAGAATTTTTGTAAAGACTCACCCCCCCTTTTTTTAAACTGTAATAAATCTTTCATTGATATTCATTGTTGCTACAACCACGTTAGCCGTTAATGCTATTCTTTTGCTCTCATTATCAAGCCATTTTGTCTTGTTTTGCTAAGCTTTACACTTAAACCTCAGTCAAATTTGTTCTAAAAGTATTGCATTCGTTTTTCTTCTTTTAAATCTAGGGCAGCTTTTGGGGGCTAAAAATGAGGTGGATTTAATTGCACTGGAGGTTTATTTCTGTTTTATGTTCATGTTATTCTCTTGGGATTGCATCCAGAGGTGGATTACTGTAACAGCACAAGAGATTATTCTCTGTTTTCACGGAGAATGTGGTGTGTGTCATATACACACGTTAACATAACGAGCTAAACGCGCGCATACAGCACTGTGATAGTGATGGTCTGTTGGGAATAGAGATGTCTCAGAGATGCTTTATGCCAATGAGGCTGCAAACAAACCAAACAAGCCTTTCAGAAATGAGTGGAATTTAGTTTGAATATTATGTGTTGCAGCACTTTTAAAAGTACAATTCAAATTACAATATTGCATTATTCAGTATAAAAGTTAGGGATGCACCGAATGTTCGGCAAACGAAATTATTCGGCCGAAAATAGCAAAAAAAGCAAAATAAGTGAAAAGACCGAATAAATTGTACCAAACAATGATATGATGCAATCAAATAGCAACCAGCGCAGAGTGAGAGGCGTGCACTCTTTATTATGCAGCACACACGTCAGCAGTGTGGAAGCATTTAAACTGTCGGAGAAAGATGCAAAAATCATAAAATTATTCGGCCGAAAATAGCAAAAAAAGCAAAATAAGTGAAAAGACCGAATAAATTGTACCGAACAATGATATGACGCAATCAAATAGCAACCAGCGCAGAGTGAGAGGCGTGCACTCTTTATTATGCAGCACACACGTCAGCAGTGTGGAAGCATTTAAACTGTCGGAGAAAGATGCAAAAATCATTGCAAGCACCGACAGCCAGAGACTGTTTAGAACTGCATCGCATGTCTTCAATGAGAAGAGGAAGAGGTGATAAAACTGCTGGTTACTGTATGATGATTGAAATCGCTAAATGGCCTTAAACAATTAGTAAATAAACTGCAGAACGTTATGTTTTTCTTACGTTATCTGCGCTGATACAGTGACTGTCAGCTGCTCAGTCACATTTTTATGAATTTTTACAAGGCATGTGACAATGCGATACGTACAACGTATTCATAATGAGACTCATTTATAAATCTGTTATCAACAAAAATAAGCATTGAGGTCTTCCTGCGCGTTTCCGCCAAAATAAAAGTTGAGAAAAAGCAAGAACTCTTATCAACATTCATAAATGTTAGTATTGTAATTTTACTGTTGTTCTGTAAAATAAAATAAAAAGTAAGACACTAATAATAATGATAATAATCATTACAACAGCTCTGTTTTTAATACATTTATTATAACATTCACACATAGTGTTCAAATTAGGATCTGTAATATTTTCTAATGTTTTAAAAGAAGTCTCTTCTCAGCAAGGCTGCTTTTAATTGTACAGTAAAAAAAACAGAAAAAACAAAAACATGCCTGATTCAAGATGGCCAAAAATTATTATTTTACTAACTTATTAATTTTAAGTTAAATTGTGCTTTGTTGGTGGTATAGTGTCTGCTAAAATGTTAAAAATGTTCAGTGTTAAATATTTTTAAATTGTTTTGTAATTGATTTTTTTTTCTTTGAAAAGCAAGACAAAACAGTAAATGCACATTTTGGCTTTTTAATTTATGTAATGGTGAAATGTTTTTTTGAAAAACTGTGGTCGGTATTCGGCCTTCGGCCCAGTGTTTAATTTTGTTCGGTTTCGGCTTCGGCAAAGAATTTTCATTTCAGTGCATCCCTAATAAAAGTATTGAATTATGCTTCATCGGTACTTTTTTTGTGTAAAGTAATGTTAAAAAACTTTTCCTGGCCACACTCTCTCTCTTTTGCGCTATATTTGTTTTTTTTTCACTAGTGATTTCTTTATTTTTATTTTATTTTTTATTTTTTTGCATAAAGCTCAAACCCCACCTTGCAGTTGATTCTAAATATTTCATTGGATATTTCAATCACAGTGCTGATTACCTACATAACGCTGAAACCTTAATCCCTAAACTACACCATTAGATAGTGTTGGTAGCACAGCCTTACAGATATATTTTTTTGCATAAAGCTCAAACCCCACCTTGCAGTTGATTCTAAATATTTCATTGGATATTTCAATACCTACATAACACTGAAACCCTAATCCCTAAACTACACCATTAGATAGTGTTGGTAGCACAGCCTTACAGATATAATTACTGTTTGTTTGATACATGCTTGCTATAAATTCCACTAATATACAAGGATTTATTTTTGTTTGTCTATATTGTAAGAGGCCATTCACACATCATGTATTTTTGTGTTTAAAAACACAAGATGCATGACAGTGGAATAATAAAAAAAATGTCCTGGGACCTTTTTTTTAGCAAAACGTTCAACGATGTCCTGCTGGCGCATGTTTACACATAAAGACAATAGAAAAGCACTGCAGTAGAATACAAAAAAACACATTTTGTGTGAACCCCTAACTGGCTACAAGGCTAAATAAATAAATATTTGTGTGGTATACATTTAATGAGTAATGTAATTCTACGTATATTCCATTACTTGAAAGATTTAGTCTGATTATGTATATTGAATCTGATTATTTACAATATTGTTTACTAATATTGAGATTTTCAAATATATTACCAATTTAAAAAAGGTGTTTCTTAATATTGTAGGCCAGTAGGTTGGAGCACATGAGCTTTTGCAGAAAGTTTCACAGTGTTTCACTGTATGTGTGTTTGTAGCACAATCTGCCAAACAACCATCTTATATTCCCTCGGAATACAAACCAAGTCTTTAAAGTGAGAAGTGCACAGCTGCTCTTATAGAGGTGCACTTCACACTCACCCTTTAGTATGTGTGACCTATGGCCCGTTTAACTCTCTCCTATGGTGTAAAGTATATTTTTAAGAGATATTTGGTTGCTTGGCCTTCTAGTTAATACCTTCCTTCCTGGACAGGAAGAGAAGCCGCTTCTGAAACTAAAGTCACTTCTTTCTGTGCATGTGAGAGGCCTTGTCCGTGTTTAAGTGCGTTTAAAGAGGGTGTTTAAATCGGTGGTGAGAAGAGACTTTGTGCAGTGCACAGGTCGATACTGAAGCAGATTTAGATTAATTTGAGGGTCTTTATACAGGTTATTACTGAGACATTCCAACAACCCTTTAGGTCAATAATATATATGCTTGATTCAGTTTGTGAACTTGAAACTTTCTGCATCCAGTTCATTCGGTTGGGTTTGTATGTCTGAGTTCAGGACTTCTTTTGAAGGATCTAACACCAGGAGCAGCACATTTTTAAAGCAATGTAGCTGTGGAATGATAGGTTGTGCTGTGGATATAATGATGGCACATGCACACACAGTATATTAAGAGAGGGGTAATGAGTGTGGCGTAGGCAGCTGTACTCTGGGAAAGATACATCATCAGGTTTAATTAAAGTCATACTGCACATGTCCGCTGGCCTTCTCTAAACCTCATCACAGCCCTCTAATGTGATAATGGCTGTGCACTCAAACAGCTGCTACTGATAAACATTAGGGTGTAATCGTGTATGGAAAGGTGTAGCAGTGAAATATACCATCATTTTACTAGATTTGTTGCGTTTTCACTCACTAACTAGAAATTATACCGCTTGGTGTAAGTACTATGGTACATCCATAAAGTAATCGGATCAGTACCCTGGTTAATTACATGCATGGATTTTCAGCAGCCATTACTCCATTGTTCAGTGTCGCATGATCCATCAGAAATCATTCTAATATGCTGTTTTGATGCTTAAGAAGCATTTATTATTATTATTATTGTTGTTGTTGCTGTTGTTATTATTATTATTATTATTATTTATTTCAGGGTTCTTTGAATAGAAAGATTAAAAAGAACAGCATTTATTGTAAAATGTTCACTTTTTATAAATTTTATGCATTCTTGCTGAATAAAGGTATTCATTTCTTTAAAAACAGTTTTTACTGCAAATGAAAAAAAATGACTGCCACTAACAGTAATGTATATAATTTTTTATTAAATGTTTTTTTAATAGTTTTATTCTAATGTTAGGTACGTACAGTAAACATCAGTAGCATGAGATTTACAATAGCAAAAAAAAAACATCTTTCACGTATTCATAAAATACAGTAAATAAATATTTTACTGATTTGATTTGTGAAACTAAGACAAAAACTTTATTATTTAAGATATTATTCCGCAAAAAGCTGGCCAAAAGGAATGAAAATAAAGATAGAATTACAGAGAGCTAAATCATTGTCATTCATGTGTTTAGGATAATATTAAATACATGCCAGGTGCTTTGTTACATTATACTGACTTTACTTGTCTGTGATCATGATATTGAGGCCAAGGTCAACATCTGGACCCTCTTATGCTCTAAAACACACAATCCTCCAAACTAATCAGTCTCTGTCATTTCGATTATGTAATGCTGTGATTGTGTTGCCATCATGAGTATCTGAGCCTGA